TCGACTTTTTCCGACTATTCGACTTTTTTCGACTTTTCGACTTTTTTCGATTTTTCGAATTTTTTCGACTTTCCGACTATTCGACTTTTTTCGACTTTTATTTACATAGTCGACTTTTCGACTTTTTTCATAGACGATAGTCGAGTTATCGACTTTTTTGGAACAAAATAGTCGACTTCGACTTTTCGACTTTTTTCGACAAAAAGTCGATTGTTCGATTATTCGAGAGTCGATTTATAGAACCCTAAACTGAACTAGAACTGAACTAGAACTGAACTAGAACTGAATTAGAACTGAATTAGAACTGAACTAGAACTGAACTAGAACTGAACTAGAACTGAACTAGAACTGAACTAGAACTGAACTAGAACTGAACTAGAACTGAACTAGAACTGAACTAGAACTGAACTAGAACTGAACTAGAACTGAACTAGAACTGAACTAGAACTGAACTAGAACTGAACTAGAACTGAACTATGAACTAGAACTGAACTAGAACTGAACTAGAACTGAACTAGAAACTGAACTAGAACTGAACTAGAACTGAACTAGAACTGAACTAGAACTGAACTAGAACTGAACTAGAACTGAACTAGAACTGAACTAGAACTGAACTAGAACTGAACTAGAACTGAACTAGAACTGAACTAGAACTGAACTAGAACTGAACTAGAACTGAACTAAACTGAACTAAAACTGAACTAGAACTGAACTAGAACTGAACTAGAACTGAACTAGAACTGAAACTAAAACTGAACTAGAACTGAACTAAAACTGAACTTGAACTGAACTAGAACTGAACTAGAACTGAACTAGAACTGAACTAGAACTGAACTAGAACTGAACTAGTACTGAACTAGAACTGAACTAGAACTGAACTAGAACTGAACTAGAACTGAACTAGAACTGAACTAGAACTGAACTAGAACTGAACTAGAACTGAACTAGAACTGAACTAGAACTGAACTAGAACTGAACTAGAACTGAACTAACTAGAACTGAACTAGAACTGATCTAGAACTGAACTAGAACTGAACTAGAACTGAATTAGAACTGAACTGGAACTGAACTAGAACTAAAACTGAACTACAACTGACATAAAAGTTTTACCATCTTTTCCTTTATAAATAAATATTTTTCAGAAATAATTATTTACATTTCATATTTCGAAATAATTTTATTGTTTAAATATTTTTTCTACTCAACTGCATCTAAAGTTCGCAAATTTTTTATTTCTACTTCGTTTATTTTACATTATTTGCTAAGCCCACGGAACTCTTGAAATTGTTCAAATCCAAATTAATTTTATAAAGCTAAAACAATGTAAAAATAAAAAATAAGATAATAATAGATAAGTCTTATGAAACATTTCCTAAGATATTTTTACATATATTTTTATAATTCACAATCGACGTAGTAACGTTGTATGTTTAGATTTTTATTATTGTTTTTTTTTTGTTTTGTTTTTATTTCAAATTCGTTTCGTTACTTTATCCTTGATTTAACTAAAGTACTGCTAATATTGTTACTATTTTGTCTTGTTATTGTTGCTTCTAAAAAATAAACCTTTTATTGAATGAATTCCAAGTATTTACGTTACTGTAGTTGTTATAAGAATACTTTCTTTCTAAGTAATGATAATGTTGTTGTTCTTATTAAAATTATTATTGTGGCAAAAACAAAAGTGACAAAACTTTTTCCTGCCAATAAATTTTATTACGAGATAAAAATGTTTCTTATTTAACTTTTCCTTTTTTTGTTGTTCTATGCTATCGGTATTATTGTACTTTATTGATAATTGTTGTTTGTAAATTAATTAGAATTATTAAAAATATTCTATAGCTCATTTACTATTTACAAGGCAAATCCTAGATAAGAATCTGAATTGTAAAAGACTAGAACTGAACTGGAAGTGAACTAGAATTGAACTAGAACTGAACTAGAACTGAACTAAACTAGAACTGAACTAGAACTGAACTAGAACTGAACTAGAACTGAACTAGAACTGAACTAGAACTGAACTAGAACTGAACTAGAACTGAACTAGAACTGAACTAGAACTGAACTAGAACTAGAACTGAAGTGATCTGAACTGAACTTCATTGTAGTCATTTTAAAATTTCAAAGAAAATATCTTGCATATTATACTACAAATGTGTATATATGTTCATATGTACGTTTTTAGGTTTAGCAATACGTCTTTTTTCTTTTTTTTTACAATTGTAAAATATACTAAAAGTAATTGAATTTTGGACACAAGAGAAATTGTCAAAGGTTTCCAGACAATATTTTGACATATTATGACATTTATATGAAAATATGAAATTTATGTAAATACAAATTAGTTGTGAACAAAATATGTACACAAAATAAATTAAATAAAAACATATTTTATGTTAAAGTAAAAAAGTTTGAATAAAAAAACAAAGCAACTTCTCAATCATAAAAGATAAATTGATTTTGTTTTTTTGGAATTAAAATTCATTTGCAAAAAAAAAAAAAAAATAAAATGATAAAGGAAAATCGTAAAAAGGGTTAAATTTGTGCACATACAAGGATTTATATGTTTATCTACAATAACAGACACATTAATAAAAAAATATACAAGTTGATAATAAATATTTTTGTACATATTTCATTCAAAACATCCCAACAGTCTTCTTTTGACAGTGACTTGATACTATAAATAATTAGGAGTATCGTCATTTTAAACCATTTTTCTGTCTGCATTTTAGCAAATCTCATGTTTTTGTAACGAAAACTAAAAACGCAAATTTACAACCAATCTTTACGAACTGCAGGATATTATTTATGTATATTTGTATACACTATCCTATGTATGTATGTCTATCATTCTATTTAAACCGATAAGCAGATTATATTTAGGATTTGCAAAATTAAACTGAAAAATTATTTTGAAATTTCTTAGGAAATTTAATAAATGTTTATCAATGTTAATAACATTTTTTCTAAACAAGGTTTTACGTTCTCCCGAAATCTAACAAAATATTATATGTATGTGTGTTTATGTTTCCCAAATATATCGAAGAAAATTGTCTATTGTAAAACAAACTTAATAATTTAACTTAGTCTGTTTGCACTTATTTGTTATAATAATTTCATAAAATTATTCTTAGATTTATTAGTTTATTTTTTTTGTGAAAAAATTTAAAACTGTAAAAATTTCTATTTTACTTAAATTATACTTTAATGACTTTAAAATGCAGCTGTAAATTCCTGCTATAGAAAAGATGACAAGGGAATTGTTTTTTTTTCTTATTCGAATCTCGTTAAAGTTTATTTTTCTTAAAATATATGAATAACAAAAAAATAAAGTTTTCAAAACACACTCCAAAATCTGTTATCTGCATAAAATGTTACTTAATGACCTGCATTTTATTATCATTTTAAATCTATGCAAAAGTTATGAAGCGGATGTAGAGAGAGATTATTTTTAATATATGTATGTACATATGTATGTATGCCGAATATACTCTACGCCAATGTAGTGAGGTTGAGTATTATACTTCTTATATACTGCTTATCCACCAATGATTACAAATAGAACTAGAACTGAACTAGAACTCAACTAGAACTCAACTAGAACTGAACTAGAACTGAACTAGAACTGAACTAGAACTGAACTAGAACTGAACTAGAACTGAACTAGAACTGAACTAGAACTGAACTAGAACTGAACTAGAACTGAACTAGAACTGAACTAGAACTGAACTAGAACTGAACTAGAACTGAACTAGAACTGAACTAGAACTGAACTAGAACTGAACTAGAACTGAACTAGAACTGAACTAGAACTGAACTAGAACTGAACTAGAACTGAACTAGAACTGAACTAGAACTCTAGAACTGAACTAACTACTAACTAACTGAACTGAACTATAACTGAACTAGAACTGACTAAACTGAACTAGAACTGAACTAGAACTGAACTAGAACTGAACTAGAACTGAACTAGAACTGAACTGAACTAGAACTGAACTAGAACTGAACTAGAACTGAACTAGAACTGAACTAGAACTGAACTAGAACTGAACTAGAAACTGAACTAGAACTGAACTAGAACTGAACTAGAACTGAACTAGAACTGAACTAGAACTGAACTAGAACTGAACTAGAAACTGAACTAGAACTGAACTAGAACTGAACTAGAAACTGAACTAGAACTGAACTAGAACTGAACTAGAACTGAACTAGAATGAACTAGAACTGAACTAGAACTGAACTAGAACTGAACTAGACTGAACTAGAACTGAACTAGAACTGAACTAGAACTGAACTAGAACTGAACTAGAACTTAACTAGAACTGAACTAGAACTGAACTAGAACTGAACTAGAACGAACTAGAACTGAACTAGAACTGAACTAGAACTGAACTAGAACTGAACTAGAACTGAACTAGAACTGAACTAGAACTGAACTAGAACTGAACTAGAAACTGAACTAGAATGACTAGAACTGAACTAGAACTGAACTAGAACTGAACTAGAACTAGAACTACTAGAACTGAACTGAACTAGAACTGAACTAGAACTGAACTAGAACTGAACTAGAACTGAACTAGAACTGAACTAGAACTGAACTAGAACTGAACTAGAACTGAACTAGAACTGAACTAGAACTGAACTAGAACTGAACTAGAACTGAACTAGAACTGAACTAGAACTGAACTAGAACTGAACTAGAACTGAACTAGAACTGAACTAGAACTGAACTAGAACTGAACTAGAACTGAACTAGAACTGAACTAGAACTGAACTAGAACTGAACTAGAACTGAACTAGAACTGAACTAGAACTGAACTAGAACTGAACTAGAACTGAACTAGAACTGAACTAGAACTGAACTAGAACTGAACTAGAATTGAACTAGAACTGAACTAGAACTGAACCATATACTTCACTTTATCAAATACTTACTTTTTCACTAACTGCAGACATTTGTAACAATTATTTAAATTTTATTAATAAACATAATTTACCTTTTAAATTCCATTATTTACACAGTATTTATTGCACTGGAGGCCATTAAATAATTAAATTGAATAATAAAACCATAAACATTTACAATTCGTGTTTTAAGTAAATTTTAAATATGAAGTGGAAAAGTTTTAAATTTATCCAACAATAATAACTGATCATTATTATACAGATAATGTTGATAGAATTGTTGTTGCTGCTGTTGTGTTTGCTGATATTGTGGATGTTGTTGTTGTTGTTGTTTTGTTAAGTTTATTGTTTTTAATATTTCTGTTTGAGCAATTTCACTAGACGCGTTTTTATGAAGTGTAAACTTTTCAATCGTATTTATTGTTTTTAAATTTACATTGAAATCTATTTTATGATTTTTATCCAGATTTACATTTGTTGCAATAATTTGTGTTTTTTTAACATTATGCTGTTGTTTGTTATTACTACTGATGTTATTATTACTGCTATTGTTATTGTTGGTGTGATTTAAACATTTAAAATAAATAAACATAAACGTGACATCAATGGTGTGATTAATACTTTCATTGATGGCCTTAAGGAAATTCTGAAAATTTAACCACTGCGGCACATTCATATATAAACACATTTTGAAATCAATTTATTTTAACTTTTTTATTTTTGTGGGCAAATAAAGTATAATATTAAATTTATTATTAAAAGTGCTTAATAATTTTTAAAGATATTATTAAGACAGACGTTATTTTTTCCGCCGTTGTTTGTTATTTACTGATATTTTTATAAAATTCTGTATTTTTATTTGCTTTTTATTATTTTTCTTTTCCAATACTCAAACACACATTTATCAATAATTTCTCTTATATACATATTTACACATACAAACAACAGCCATTTAGTGTGTCAAGTTCAAGGTTTTTTCTTTATGGGTATTACTGTTGTTGTTTTTTGTCTTCTTAATGGTGAATGAACGTAAATATAATTTTTTATTATTATTTGATTTTCTTCCTCTGTTTCCGTTTTTAGCGAGAAAATTCAAAGGAATATCTTAATTTTATCCGCCAGATACCACCTATCTGCTTGAATTTTCGTTTAAAACTGTTTTGTGTTGAAGAATTTCTTTTCATTTAAAATTCCTTTAATATTTTATTTTCAGAAAGAGATTTACAGGCTATCAGGCTCTCTTCTTATTTTCTATTTAAGCTCTCTATAACTTTATTATGCAGCTTCTCTTTATAGAGATTTTTTCTAACTTGTTGCCTTAAAGAGCAAATTTCAAGTATAAACCTGTAGGCGTATACGTAATTAAACAATAATCATACGTAGTGGTTTTCCAAGCTAAAGCAATGTTCGTTTCTTTGTCTGTTCACATAAAATTTATAATTTTGAGTAAGTTTTAGTTCGGTTCTAATTCATTTTTAGTTCAGTTCTAGTTCAGTTCTAGTTCAGTTCTAGTTCAGTTCTAGTTCAGTTCTAGTTCAGTTCTAGTTCAGTTCTAGTTCAGTTCTAGTTCAGTTCTAGCTCAGTTCTAGTTCAGTTCTAGTTCAGTTCTAGTTCAGTTCTAGTTCAGTTCTAGTTCAGTTCTAGTTCAGTAGTTCAGTTCTAGTTCAGTTCTAGTTCAGTTCTAGTTCAGTTCTAGTTCAGTTCTAGTTCAGTTCTAGTTCAGTTAGTCTAGTTCAGTTATAGTTCAGTTCTAGTTCAGTTCTAGTTCAGTTCATTTCTAGTTCATTTCTAGTTCAGTTCTAGTTCAGTTCTAGTTCAGTTCTAGTTCAGTTCTAGTTCAGTTCTAGTTCAGTTCTAGTTCAGTTTAGGGTTCAGTTCTAGTTCAGTTCTAGTTCAGTTCTAGTTAAGTTCTAGTTCTAGTTCAGTTCTAGTTCAGTTCTAGTTCAGTTCTAGTTCAGTTCAGTTCGGCCTAGTTTTGTTTATAAAGTTTTTATATAACTTTATATCGTTATCTTAAGCACAAAACAGTCTATTTCATTTAACTGTATAGTTCATCATTAATTATCTTAAACATAAAAAAATATTGGTGGCGATACATGTTTGAGTTAATAGCATTTCCTTTTGCTATTTTCTAACGAAAATAGTTCATTAAACTTATTGTCAATAGATATGGCGAAATTTTACGATTTTATTAGAACATTTTTATTACTTATATCATTTAGTAGAATGTTAAACAGTTAGACGGGCAGACTCGATTGTATAATCGTAAAGTTTCTGATTAAATAAGAAAGTTAATTGAAGATTAAAGACGTTTTTATAGTACTTCGGGCCCATAAAGAAAATTCGAATTTTGGTGAATAATAGCAATATAAAACAATTTTAATGCTGTTTTAATTTTAATTACTTTTTAAAAGTCAGTAATATGTTCACAAAGTGAAAGAGGATGTGATACTAATTTTAACCGTCAAAAATTACAAAGGGATCAATACAGCTAAATATGCATAACGATTTCTGTTGTTATTTTTTATGTATTTTATTAGATTGTTATTGTTGTAAATTTTATCGACAGCAATAACAGACAGCTGTAACAACAATAAAAATTAACATAAAAACCGTATTTTGGGTGATCATAATGAATTACACTTATGCATACTAATGAAGTAAATAAGCATTTTATAGTTAAGATATTTTGCAGAAAAATCTTTTAAAATTTGTATTACTAAATAAGATAAAATAAAAAATGTATTTAAGTTTTACACTTAAATACATATTATCCTTTGTTTGTCCTTTTTAAAGATTTCCTTGTTTTGATGGGCAGCAGAGGAGTGATTGATACTAGATACATAAAAACGTATTTGTTAAGAGATGTTGAGAAAGGCATTTCGTGGTTGGACCTGTATTGTTGTCAATGATAAATTAAGAATACCTCTTTAAGTTTAATTACTTTTTCTTAAGAAAGTGCTTAAATTTAAATCATTTACATTTGTTTAATGCTAAAAACTCTTTGAAATACTTTAAATCAAGTAAAAACCTAAAGCTGTATCCTTGACAATTTCTTCTATGCCAACAGGAACTGAGTGATGTTTGAATGCGATAAAAAGAAACCACAAACATAAATGTCTTCATACGGCATTACTTTTTGCTCTTTCTGTCTTTTATCTTGTAATAAATGCTTATGAAAGTAGTTGTATGGAAATACATACATGCATGACAAATAAAAAAGAGACATTATATTTTGAAATAAAGATAAATTTATATAATAATTTTACGCAACAGTAACAAAGTGTAAAAATACCAGATAAGAATGTTTAAGAAAAAATAAAGAAGTATTCATATGTATGTATATTAGGGTGGCTCCCTTTCATTGGAGAAAACAAAAGTTGTTGCTACAAATAAATTCAAATTCAGTTCAACTTTAGTTCAATTCTAGTTCAGAGAAAAATTCTATTAAAAACTTCAGGCGTATACGCAATATAACAATAATCATACGTAATGTATTCCCTAATAAACACATGCTCGATTATTTCTTCATTACATACATATAATTTATGTTCAGTTCTAGTTCAGTTCTAGTTCAGTTCTAGATCAGTTCTAGTTCTAGTTCAGTTCTAGTTCAGTTCTAGTTCAGTTCAGTTCTAGTTCAGTTCTAGTTCAGTTCTATTCAGTTCTAGTTCAGTTCTAGTTCAGTTCTATTTCAGTTCTAGTTCAGTTCTAGTTCAGTTCTAGTTCAGTTCTAGTTCAGTTCTAGTTTCAGTTCTAGTTCAGTTCTAGTTCAGTTCTAGTTCAGTTCTAGTTCAGTTCTAGTTCAGTTCTAGTTCAGTTCTAGTTCAGTTCTAGTTCAGTTCTAGTTCAGTTCTAGTTCAGTTCTAGTTCTAGTTCAGTTCTAGTTCAGTTCTAGTCAGTTCTAGTTCAGTTCTAGTTCAGTTCTAGTTCAGTTCTAGTTCAGTTCTAGTTCATCTAGTTCAGTTCTAGTTCAGTTCTAGTTCAGTTCTAGTTCAGTTCTAGTTCAGTTCTAGTTCAGTTCTAGTTCAGTTCTAGTTCAGTCTAGTTCAGTTCTAGTTCAGTTCTAGTTCAGTTCAGTTCAGTTTAGTTCTAGTTCAGTTCTAGTTCAGTTCTAGTTCAGTTCTAGTTCAGTTCTAGTTCAGTTTAGTTCAGTTCTAGTTCAGTTCTAGTTCAGTTCTAGTTCAGTTCTAGTTCAGTTCTAGTTCAGTTCTAGTTCAGTTCTAGTTCAGTTCTAGTTCAGTTTAGTTCAGTTCTAGTTCAGTTCTAGTTCAGTTCTAGTTCAGTTCTAGTTCAGTTCTAGTTCAGTTCTAGTTCAGTTCTAGTTCAGTTCTAGTTCAGTTCTAGTTCAGTCTAGTTCAGTTCTAGTTCAGTTCTATAGTTCTAGTTCAGTTCTAGTTCAGTTCTAGTTCAGTTCTAGTTCAGTTCTAGTTCAGTTCTAGTTCAGTTCTAGTTCAGTTCTAGTTCAGTTCTAGTTCAGTTCTAGTTCAGTTCTAGTTCAGTTCTAGTTCAGTTCTAGTTCAGTTCTAGTTCAGTTCTAGTTCAGTTCTAGTTCAGTTCTAGTTCAGTTCTAGTTCAGTTCTAGTTCAGTTCTAGTTCAGTTCTAGTTCAGTTCTAGTTCAGTTCTTTCTAGTTCAGTTCTAGTCATTTATAGTTCAGTTCTAGTTCAGTTCTAGTTCAGTTCTAGTTCAGTTCTAGTTCAGTCTAGTTCAGTTCTAGTTCAGTCTAGTTCAGTTCTAGTTCAGTTCTAGTTTCAGTTCTAGTTCAGTTCTAGTTCAGTTTATCAGTTTCAGTTCTAGTTCAGTTCTAGTTCAGTTTCTAGTTCAGTTCTAGTTCAGTTCTAGTTCAGTTCTAGTTCAGTTCTAGTTCAGTTCTAGTTCAGTTCTAGTTCAGTTCTAGTTCAGTTTCTAGTTCAGTTCTAGTTCAGTTCTAGTTCAGTTCTAGTTCAGTTCTAGTTCAGTTCTAGTTCAGTTCTAGTTCAGTTCTAGTTCATTAGTTCAGTTCTAGTTCAGTTCTAGTTCAGTCTAGTTCAGTTCTAGTTCAGTTCTAGTTCAGTTCTAGTTCAGTTCTAGTTCAGTTCTAGTTCAGTAGTCAGTAGTTCAGTTCTAGTTCAGTTCTAGTTCAGTTCTAGTTAGTTCTAGTTCAGTTCTAGTTTCAGTTCAGTTCTAGTTCAGTTCTAGTTCAGTTCTAGTTCAGTTCTAGTTCAGTTCTAGTTCAGTTCTAGTTCAGTTCTAGTTCAGTTCTAGTTCAGTTCTAGTTCAGTTCTAGTTCAGTTCTAGTTCAGTTCTAGTTCAGTTCTAGTTCAGTTCTAGTTCAGTTCTAGTTCAGTTCTAGTTCAGTTCTAGTTCAGTTCTAGTTCAGTTCTAGTTCAGTTCTAGTTCAGTTCTAGTTCAGTTCTAGTTCAGTTCTAGTTCAGTTCTAGTTCAGTTCTAGTTCAGTTCTAGTTCAGTTCTAGTTCAGTTCTAGTTCAGTTCTAGTTCAGTTCTAGTTCAGTTCTAGTTCAGTTCTAGTTCAGTTCTAGTTCAGTTCTAGTTCAGTTCTAGTTCAGTTCTAGTTCAGTTCTAGTTCAGTTCTAGTTCAGTTCTAGTTCAGTTCTAGTTCAGTTCTAGTTCAGTTCTAGTTCAGTTCTAGTTCAGTTCTAGTTCAGTTCTAGTTCAGTTCTAGTTCAGTTCTAGTTCAGTTCTAGTTCAGTTCTAGTTCAGTTCTAGTTCAGTTCTAGTTCAGTTCTAGTTCAGTTCTAGTTCAGTTCTAGTTCAGTTCTAGTTCAGTTCTAGTTCAGTTCTAGTTCAGTTCTAGTTCAGTTCTAGTTCAGTTCTAGTTCAGTTCTAGTTCAGTTCTAGTTCAGTTCTAGTTCAGTTCAGTTCTAGTTCAGTTCTAGTTCAGTTCTAGTTCAGTTCTAGTTCAGTTCTAGTTCAGTTCAAGTTCTAATTCTAGTTCAGTTCTAGTTCGTTTCAAGTTCAGTTCTAGAAAAATTTGGAAAACTACCCTAATTAATAGGTATGTGTGATTAGCATGTGAATATTAAAAGTAAAATATTTAACTGAGATACTGAAAATATGAAAACATCAAAATGTTATATGTCAAACAAACAAGCGAAAATTTTACTCCATTGGAGATTGGGACTTAATTG